GGGGGGATGAAGACACGATGACACCAACAACCTTTTTTAAAACTATATTCAGGCTTTTCTTTCATAATATCATTAAGTCCTAAAGATATAAATACATGTGAAAGAGTGCAAAGAAGAAACACAGAAAAGAACATCCTGTTCGAAAGCAGTGTTGTCAGGTATCTTTGAGAGATTCATTGTGCATCTGGAGCCCTTTCAAATGAAACATTACTTGACAAGAAGAAGTGCCCATAAAAATGATCCTAAATGGAGATTTGCAATTAATCACACACATTCTCCACTAAAACTCCTAAAAAGCCATCTACGGAATTTGATTTTTTTCCCCCCTTAATATTCATACAGGCAATATTGAATTTTTTTTTTTTTTTAATGTGGCACTTACCCATGTGCCACAGTTGCTCTTGCAATGAAGTGATTTATGGAGGTAAGATTTTCAAACGTCTATCAAATGGCTCAGGTGAACCATTGTGCACTGGCAATTTAAATTAAAATGGAAGTTGCTATATAATATCTATGTAGCTTGTAAATAAAGAAAAAAAATACCAGTCATCTAATGATGATAGATAGGCCAAGTTTTCTTTTGGGGAAAGGCAAAGGGGAAATGCAGCACCCTTCTCCTATCTTCCAGTTTTATAAACTTCGCATCAGTTCATGCAAGTTTGAACCGGGGACCATACAATAAATATACCAGGCAGAAGGCTAGAAATTTTATACAGCAAACTTCATGTACTCAATTTCCCTGCATGCATTTTCTCTGTGCCTAATGAAACAATATATTCTAGGAGGAAAAGAAAATGACAATATATTCCGAGTTTCCTGGACCACCATAACATAAAAATAAACCACGGCAAAAATATCACAAGAGACCAAGCACTTAAAGGCATGCGGTAACTGCATCCTATCATGCCTCAGCAAGAGAGATAAATGCAATTTACGCTCATTCCAAAACAGGGGGAAAGAGGCATATGGGAAAGAGAGAAAAGGAACACTCACCCCACCCCCCCCAACCCCAAATTAAACTGCTTTTGCTAAGTCTTCAGGCTTCCTTGGAGTTATTTTACACCCACCAAACTTTTACTGAAAGAGTGACGGGTTACATTCGGATCGCCAAGGTTTGCCTTAAAGCTGTACTTTGGATTTTAGACTTAATTCTAAAAGGCGCTTCAGTGCTGTCGCAGGACAACT